TATTTTATAGTCTGGATTTACATTGAGCTTTCTGGATTTTGTCCTCCTTCTGTTAATTTTTAAAATGGGTTACCTAATTTTCCATAAACTGACTATATATATATATATATATATATATATATATATATATATATATATATATGTCTATTTACACTATTCTTATTTGTCCTGGACATTGAGTTCATTTATAAATTCTTGATTCTCTTTATATATATTTATATATATATATATATATATATATATATATATATATATATATATATATATATATGAAGAAATATATATATATATATATATATATATATATTTATGGGATAAATATATATATATAATATCAGAGATATAGCGTATGTAAATATAAAATAATATTAAGTGAACATTGAAATCATGACTTAGAGGCAGACAGTCTGTTTATAGTGGCCTGATTTATATATATATATATAAATATATATATATATATATATATATATATACCATATATATATATATATATATATATATATATATTTATATATATAATTCCCAAGAGGATAGAATCCAGGTAGAACTCAATGTTCAGGACAGAGTAAAAATATAATAAAAAAAAGCTCAAATACTAATATTCCATGGTTATAATTTATTAATTTATTTGAATCAAAATCACGATCCAATTCATCAAACCTACAAATTCAAAAAAAAAATTTGGTTTAAATTTGTATCATGATGAATTGGATCGTGATTACGATTCAAATTTAATAAATTAAAACAATGTGAATATATGTTTGAGCATATATATATATATATATATATATATATATATATATATATATATATATATATATATATATATATATGTAAAAGGTATTAGCAATATTTGCATCCTGGCTTTACAACATTATACTATTGCTTCTAGAAGATCTATTATCGATAATAAAAGTGATGGATTAAGAGAAAGAAAAAGAATCTAAATGAAATGGGCTAGGTAAAAAAAAAAGAAAGATAAATTTAAATTTCCAGCATCCCTTGTTTCTGCGCATGTATAGTCGCGTCAACAACAAATTTAGAACGATGAAGTCTTAAAAGCACGCAACGCATCACGAGAAAAATTTTTCCACTTTTGACATACATTTAATATATATATATATATATATATATATATATATATATATATATATATATATATACACGCACACACACACAAATATATACACACACATATATATATATATATATATATATATATATATATACTAAATAAAAATTACATGTAGATCTTTTAACTTTCAAAATTCTTATAAAATAATATATATATATATATATATATATATATATATATATATATATATATATATTATATATAAATGTTTCGGTTCTATGTGCCACATTTCTCAGATTTCGATTTCGTAGTCCTTGTATTTTGATAGCTTTTTGAAGATCTTCAAAGATATATTGTAGTCTGCAGGGACTTCCATATCAATATTTTTTTTTGTTTTCGGTCTCTAATAAGAATGTCTGGGGTTAGCTTTCATTGTTCTGTCTGTGTGTATTGTGTAGTCCCATAAAATTGTAATAGGTCCTATCTCAGTAACCAGAATTATTATTAATATTATCTTATTATTATTATTATTTTTATTCACCATGTTATTCTAGAGACACAAGGAGAGGTCAAACAGCTTAGTCATTTTCCATACTTTATTTCCACTTATATAAAAACAAATGCGTATGTCACTTTTTCACATAGTCCACCTGTACGCCAACACATTAAGGTATCGACCAACGAGCCTCTTCATCCCTTCCGAACAGAAGCTTTCCGGTTGATCACGAAGTCACATCAGCACCCCTTGCCTGTTTGGGGTACCCAGCGAGCACAAACGTTACGGTACCCCAAATCACCATGTGCTATGGCATGTCCATAGCTTATGCCCACAATTGCTGCCTCTTGTGCTAACGTGATCCGTTGGCCAAGGTAACCATCCTCCTCTATGCGTTCTTCCGTGGGTAGTGTTGATGGGCGATCAGATCGGCTTTCGTCCGTTTCGCGTCTTCTTCCCGCCTTCAAGCGTTCTGCCCACTCTTTACATTGATTCGTGGTACGTGCTCCATACTGCGCCAACAACTCGGCGATGGAACTTCGCAGGTATTACTCCGTAACAATGGAATCGTTGAATAGAGGGTCCATATGCCCGACCTCGTTGCTCCCTGATAAAAGAATGATCGTTGTAATGCCGCACGAGGTAAAAGTACCCGTCGTCCTATGTGTACACGTGGGATGACGGATATCTAGATGTGTTTACTGCGTACTTTCAAAATTGCCTTTATTCGCTGATTTGTCCTTGTATCTTTCCGATTATCCTCGCAATCAAACAGGAATGGTTCATTGTTTATCTAAGTTTATGGCAGGACGTAATGTTCGCGCAAACTACCTCACTAAGTAAAAAACTAACTAAAGAACACTAATGATAAAAAATAGAAATGCCTGTAAAAGTTCACGGTTTTCTTGAGTTTTGAAACGAATCTTGACAATAAGATATCCGGGGAAATTTCCCTATCGCATAGGTAAATATATGAGCTTAACATCTTTAAGAAAACCGTCAGGAGTAAGACGATAAAATACTTCTGCGTCCTGGGTCAGACGATGAATTACATCCGCCTCCTGGGTATGACGATAAACTGCGTCCAATAGCAAGGCAATTGATCAGCAGGTATTGAGGAACGTGGAACTACATCTTAATTGATGGTGTTCACAGGTCCACCCTGACCCAGTGTGGTAGCACCTGTTAGGGTCCCAGCTACAGGCAAATAGTTTACCCCCAAACTGGGGTTAGAACACTTGAAAGTTTAAAAATAGGTTTTAATACCAGAAATACTTTGTAAAAAATTATTACCAGCAATAAATTTTTGAAAAAAATATTACTAGCTATACATTTTTGAAAAAGTAAACATTATCAGTTTCACATTTTGGGAAAAAAATTAGCAGCTATACATTTAAGAAAAATACCAGCAATACATTTTTGTAAAAAAATTTATTACCAGCAACAAAAATCTTGTCGGCATTAAATAACCCATTGATTTGTTGATATGCCGTAAAACAAATCAAATCAAACCAAACAACTAAAGGAACGAATCTGTTTCTTGATATAAAGATGAACATCTTTAAGAAAGGCGCCGTACTTGACTTAAAACCAAAAATAATATTATGTTAAATTATAAAAATATTACCAGCAATAAAAATCTTGTCGGCATTAAATAACCCATTCAGATGTTGATATGCCGTAAAACAAATCAAACAAAACAACTAAATAAAGGATCGAATCAGTTTCTTGATGTAAAGATGAACATCCTTAAGAAAGTCGTCGTGATGACTTAAAAACCAAAAATAATATTATGTTAAATTATAAAAATATTACCAGCAATAAAAATTATTGTCGGTATTAAATAACCCATTGAGGTGTTGATATGCCGTAAAAAAAACCAAACCAAACAACTAAAGGATCGAATCAATTTTTGATGTAAAGATGAACATCCTTAAGAAAGGCGCCGTAATACATGACTTAAAAAAACCAAAAATAATATTATGTTAAATTATAAAAATATTATCCAGCAATAAAATTTTTGTCGGTATTAAATAACCCATTGAGATGTTGATATGCCGTAAAAACAAACCAAACCAAACAACTAAAGGATCGAATCAGTTTCTTGATGTAAAGATGAACATCCTTAAGAAAGGCGCCGTACTTGACTTAAAACCAAAAATAATATTATGTTAAATTATAAAAATATTACCAGCAATAAAAATTTTGTCGGTATTAAATAACCCATTGAGATGTTGATATGCCGTAAAACAAACCAAACCAAACAACTAAAGGATCGAATCAGTTTCTTGATGTAAAGATGAACATCCTTAAGAAAGGCGCCGTAATTGACTTAAAAACCAAAAAATAATATTATGTTAAATTATAAAAATATTACCAGCAATAAAAATTTTGTCGGTATTAAATAACCCATTGAGATGTTGATATGCCGTAAAACAAACCAAACCAAACAACTAAAGGATCGAATCAGTTTCTTGATGTAAAGATGAACATCCTTAAGAAAGGCGCCGTACTTGACTTAAAACCAAAAATAATATTATGTTAAATTATAAAAATATTACCAGCAATAAAAATTTTGTCGGTATTAAATAACCCATTGAGGTGTTGATATGCCGTAAGACAAACCAAACCAAACAACTAAAGGATCGAATCAGTTTCTTGATGTAAAGATGAACATCCTTAAGAAAGGCGTCGGACTTGAGTTAAAACCAAAAATAATATTATGTTAAATTATAACAATATTACCAGCAATAAAAAAAAATCTTGTCGGCATTAAGTAACCCATTGAGGTGTTGATATGCCGTAAAAAAAAAACCCCAAACCAAACACTTAACAAATTATTGCAATAACAATCATAGATATAAATGCCGGTCGTTATTTTAAGAAGTAAGGGGGTACAAATGAAAAGATTTGAAATTAATGTCTTTTTCTATTTCACTTTATCAAACGTTAAACTCTTCTATTTTTCTTTTCTTTCTTTCTTTTTCTCGCTGAAAACAAACTCGATTCTCTGAGATATTTTTTCCGTCTTACCAGGCGTCGAAACGAAACAGTCCATTATTTATGAGGAATTGGCAGGTCGTAACTAAGGGACTAGCAGAATTGTAATAAGATAATAATACTTTTACCAACAGTTTGTCTCTTCTGATATCGACAATATTTATCCAGATCGAGAAATTACGTCACATTTATGATGGCGCAAGGAACATGATACCTGCTCATAGACCACAATCGAAATCGAGCAAGGATATTCCGATCTTGATAATCAGTCGGACATTTGAGATATAATATTCATCGATAACATTTGTTTTGGGCAACTCGGAATTGGCGTAATGATTAACGAGCTAGTCTTGTTGAGCATGGGAAGTGAATGCGATCTTTAACTGGGTGCTTCATATTGATAGCCTTGTGCCAAGATAAACTTAGTAAATGGCAACAGCGCCCGTTCTTTCTCTGTTTTCTTTCCTATTTCATCGTTTTCTTCTCCTTATATTTTCTTTATCTTTTTTTTTCTTTTCGTCTTACTTTTCTCTTTCTTTCTTTTCTCTTTCTTTCTTTCTTTTCCTCTTCCTTTTCTTCTTTCTTTTCCGCTTTCTTTTCCTATTTCTTTTTTTCTTTTCTTTTTTCTTGTTTCTTTCTTTTCTTCTTTCTTTCCTTTCCGCTTTTTTTCTTCTTTCTTTTCCTCTTTCTTTTCTTCTTTCATTTCTTCTTTCTTTTCCCCTTTCTTTTTCTTTCTTTTCCCCTTTCTTTTCCTCTTTCTTTTCTTCTTTCTTTTCCTATTTCTTGTCATTCTTTTTTTTTTTTTTTTTCTTTCTTTTTTTCTTTCTTTTTTTATTCTTTCTTTTTCTTTTTTTTTTTCTTTTTTTCTTTCTCTTTTCTTTTTTTTTTCCTTTTTTTTTCCTTTTTTTTTTTTCTTTCTTTTCCTCTTTTTTTTCTTCTTTCTTTTCTTCTTTCTTTTCCTCATTATTTCATCTTTGCAATTTTTGTTTTTCTTTCTTTTCCTTTTCCTCCAAACATTCTCTTTTTTTTTGCTTTTTCACTTCTTTTCTTCTTTTTCACATTTCTCTTTCAATTTTTTTTTTTTTCTTTATTGCCAAAATTTTTTTTTTTTAATCTTTCCATTTCATTTTTCCTTTTATTTCCTCCTTTTTTTTTTTTTATTCTTTTTTAATTCTCTTTTTTTTCCTATTTTTTTCATCTTTGTTTTTTTTCAATTTTTTCTTTTTTTTTCTCTTAATTTGATTTTTCTTTTTATTTTTTTTTTTTTTTTTTTTTTTTTTTTTAAAATTTTTCTTCTTCTTTCCAATGTCTTTTTTTTTTTATTTTTTTTTTTTCTTTTTCTTTCCATTATTCTCTTTCGTTTTTTTTTTTTTTTCTTTCTTTTTTCATACTACTATTTGCAAATATCTTCTTTTTTAATTTTTTTCTTTGCCGTTTCAAAATTCTTCTTTTTTTTCTTTTTCTTTCCATCTTCCTTTTTTTTCTTTTTTTTCAAATTTTTTTTCTTTTTAACGAATTTTTATTTTTTTTTTTCTTTTTTTTTTTTTTTTTTTTTTTTCTTTCTATTGTTTTGTATTCCTTTTCTTCTTTTTTAATTTCCGATTTAACAAATTTTTTTTTTTTCATTTTTTGAATTGTTCTTTAAATTCTCCTTCTTTTTATTCCTTTTATTTATCATTCTTTTCTTTTTTAATCTTTCATTTTTTTTTATTTTAATATTTTTCTTTCTTTTTCTGCTTTTTTATTTCTTTCCTTTTTTTTTTTTTTTTTTTTTTTTTTCTTTTTTTTTTTTAAAATATGTTTTTTTTCGACGTATTTTTTGGATTTTTTTTTTTTTTTGCTTTTTTTCTTTTTCCTTCTATTCATTTTTCTTCTTCTTTTTTTTTGTTTTTCCTTGTTTTTTTCCAATAATTTTCCTTTTTTTTTTTTTTTTTATTTTTCTTCACTTGTTTTTTTTTTTTTTTTTTTCTTTTAGAAATTTTCAATTCATTTCATTTTTTTTTTTATACTTTTCCCTCCATTTCTTTTTTGTTTTTTTTTTTTTCTGTCTTTTTTTCCGTTTTTTTTGTTTTCTGATTCTTTTTTATTAAAATTAAAATATTTTTTCCTCAGGCCTTTATTAATAAATTTTTATTATTATTATTTTGTTTCATTTTACTACTACTAATAATAATGAAGATTAATATATATTTAATCATTAAAATCTTTTAGGGCTTTTTTTTAAAAGATCATCCTTTAAAATGAACGGTTTAAAAGAAATTCCTTCTTTTTTTCCTTTTTTTAAATCTTCTTTGTTTGTTTTTTTATATTTCTCCAAGAACTTTCAATTTAATCTTATTTATAATATTTCCTTTAATTATTTTTAAAAAACAGCAACATCCTCCGACCTCCATTTTAATGTAATTGATAATTTTTTATTCCCCAAAAATTTAATAGAAAATTTTCTTTATTTTTATTTTTGTCTTTATTTTATTCTTTTAGTCATTTAAAAATTTTGTAGATTTCTTTCCCGTCAATGAGCATTTTGATATTAGATGATTATGTTCTTGTATATAAAATAATTGTAATTGCTATCTTTAGACTTTTTTTTCATAATAGTAAAAATGGATGCCAAATCTTTGTCTTTAATTGACTACGAGTTCGTCACGTTTGAAAAATTCACGGTTTCATTTATGAAACAAAATAAAAAATAGTTTCAAATTTAACAACAGGTTTTTTAAAATTTTACATGGATCCAAATTAAAATTTCAAAAAAATTTTTGTTTTTGTTATTTTAAGTTTTTTTTTCATAGATTTCAATTTTATTCAAAAAAAATATGTGAAACTCCGGAAATCACTAAAAAAAAAAGATTATTTTTCATATTTCTGAAGCATTTTTCCATTTAAAATAAATTTGAAAAAAAATGGCAAAAAAAAATATTTTGAAACAAATATGAATTTATATTTTTTAATTCATATTCATCAAATTTTAATCAATTATGTTTATAAATATATATATTTTAAATATATATATATATATTTATATATATATATATATATTTATAAATTTAAATATAACCATTTGTGTGTAATTTTTTTTTTGTATATATATTCAAACAGGTTTCATTAAAAAAAAATCATTTTTTTATATCCATTTAACCTTTTACTATTCAAAAACAATATTGTCAGACAAATACAACATGAAATTTTATTCCAATTTTATATATATATATATATATATATATATATATATATAAAATATATATTTATATATATATTGATAATAATTTTTTTTTTTTATAATTGTTAATTTGAATTTCCGAAAGTCTAAAGTTTATTTTAAAAAATATACCAAAATATGAAAAAATCAAGATTATTATATTTTCAAAATACATACTAAAATTTTATCCTAATTGAAAAAAAATTAATAGAAAAATAAACATACAGGCATTTTTTTTATCAAAAATTTTATGTGGATGAATACTTGCTGCCTAAATATAATTTTATTCATATATATATTTCAGTTTTTTTTTGTATGTGCCCATGTGTGATCTAAGAGGGGACGATGTATCAAATCATTTTTTAATGTTTACAATAAAATTTCATTTCATAACAAAAACGTTTTATAAAAAATTTTGACTTGGATTGAAATTTTCAGCAAGTAAAATTTTTTTTTGAAATAGTTCAATAATTTCACACACACACACACATACAAATCAAAACACACATCACAAATACATTTATATATATATATATAATACTGTTCAAATTTTGAAGTTCATCCCTTTTTTAATTTTTAAATAAGTTGGAAAAATTAGTTGTTTTGTTTTGTTTTTTTTTTTGCATTTTTCCCATATATATATATATATATATATATATATATATATATATATATATATATATAAATATTAAAAATGGACAATAAGGTTTAATTGAAATTTTTTTTATTAAAGACATTTTTTTTTTTTTTATGTTTAACAAATATATATATATATATATATATATATATATATATTAAGAATATATATATATATATACAATAAAATTAAATTGGGATCAAAAAAAATAAAATGTTTATGTTTTTTTTATGATTTTGATTTCGTCATATTTTTCATAAATGAAACTGAAAATGACATCCGTTTCATCTCGATCATGTCAAGGAATTTTAAAAAGTTTTATTTGAAAATTTTTTATTCTGACTAAATCGATTCTGATGATCTATCATAATAATTTTGCTAATATTTATATATATAATAAGTTTTAAAAAGAAATAAAATGATTTTTAATATAAGTTATTAATTGTTTAAACATCGATTGCAAAATATTGAATATATTTTCTATTGATATTTATATAAAATTGAGGAACCTCATTGTAATCAAAAATTTTTGAAAGAACTTTTTTTTATTCGAACTCTTAGAATGAAATTAGTTTTCTCAATAGAGTTGTTTTCTTTTTCTTTCAAATTTCATTAACAGTAATTAATTTAAAGATTGCATCCCATATCTCAAATAAGTGGTTTTCCATTTAGTTTCATTATAAATGAAATTAAACTGTTCGTCGATTATTGATCACAGATTGAAAAAAAAAATAAAAATAAATAATGTATTTTGATGATCCTGTTGCATCCACGTTTTTGAAAATTTTGATTGCATATTGTTTAGGTTTTATTATATTCAATGTATTGTTAATTGCCAAAAATATTTAATATTTATATTAGAAAAAATTGAAAAAAAATTTTCCATTTTTTAAGTTCCATTTCGTATAATTGAGTTTTCAAACTCCAATTTCTAATTGAAATAATGAATTTGAGGCCGATCAAAATTTGCTTTTTTCAACTTCTCATCGATCCTAGGAAAGTTGGCACAAGTTCTAAAAGGAGCCACCATCTTTTCCAAACTTACTATTAACATTGTTAAAACAAAGTATTTGATTTTATATATATATATAATTAGTAGTAGAGAGCCCGGCGTTGCCCGGGGATATAACAGTAAGAGATAGATCAAGTATCCACCATCATAAAGACTGAAAAATAAAATTGACAAAGATTATTGTTTAAGGTTGACGGACACGCATGTCTTAATTTTTTTTTTTTTTTTTTTTTTTACGAATTGGTCAAACCCAAACTCAAACAAAAACATTGTTTTCAATCGTTATGAGTCTCCCCGATTGAATAGAATTTTTTTATAAACAATTGTCTTGTAAATGGAATTTTTAAAGCATTCTGAATGTAAAAATAAAGAAAAAAAGTGTGCAAGACAATAAGAAACACTACATGCCAAAAAAAAAAAAGTGTGAAAGTTTTGTTGAAATCGGTTGAAAAATGTAGGTAGCCTTTCTGTAATCTTTTAGTTTTACAATTAATGATTTTTATTTATTGAATACAGTAAAAAAAAATTGCATATTTTGCTTGTGGTGATTCATAATTAGAATTCTGATTTGAATATATTTTCCACTCGTTGTTTCTAATACAAAAAATATTAACTTTATTTGGGTTTATTAATTATGATCTAACAAATCTTATTCATTTAGTAGCCTTTCTGTAATAATAATCTTTTTTTACAATTTATGATTTTTACTTATTGAATACAGTAAAAAAATTGGACACCATGTGTATTTAAAGTAGTTTCCGTTCCGGTTATTATTTTTAGTTAGGACTTGTGTATGTTTAGATTTCATTATCTTTCCCTAAAGATAAAGAATTTATCCGATGTTTGTATTCGTACAATCAGTAGAGATCGTTAGATTATTGTTTAAGGTTGACAGACACGCATGTCTTAATTAGTTTTTTTTTTTTTTTTTTTTACGAATTGGTCAAACCCAAACTCAAACAAAAACATTGTTTTCAATCGTTATGAGTCTCCCAATTGAATAGAATTTTATTATAAATAATTGTCTTGTAAATGGAATTTTTAAAGCATTCTGAATGTTAAAAATAAAGAAAAAAAAACACACACACACAAGAGAATAAGAAACACTACCTGCCAAAAAAAAAAAAAAAAAAAAAA